GCTTTTTGGCACATGTACATCTCCTTAATACAAGTTATTTAAGTTGGTCTAATAAGTTGGTCTAAATCTACTAATTTCCTTGGTAGTCAGTCTAAAATCCCTTATTATATTGGACGGTATTGTAAATACCCTTGTTACATTGGAGGTCAGTATAGAATCCCTTCATTAAACTAGTGGTCAGTGTAAGTGTCCCTGTTACATTGGTGGTCAGTGTAAATTCCCCTGTTCCATAAGTGGTAAGTGTAAATCTTCCTATTTCCTTGGTAGTCAGTCTAAAATACCCTTGTTACAATGGTTGTCAGAATAAAGGGCGTCTTACACTGGTGGTCAGTGTAAATGTTCCTGTTACATTTCTGGCCATTGTAAAATTCCCCCTTATATTTGTGGTCAGTGTAGCATTGGCCTTACATTGATGGTCATTGTAGAATCACCCATTACATTGATGGTCATTGTAGAATGCCCTCACCCTGACTAACTGGGGGATTTGCAGATTTTATAGTTTGCAAAAACCAACTGATTTGCTCACATGTTCTACTGACCACCAATGTCAGAGCATTCTTATTCCTCTGGACATTAATGCCAAGCATTCATTCTCATGCTTACCATCAATTGCAGGTATTTGTTCTGACTACTGAAGCTAACACAACCCCCACCCTCATGACTATCTTTGTAGGGCATTTATTTCATCCCAGGCACCATTGACGCCAGGTTATTTTATCCTTTACTGATGCCAGGGCATTTTTTTTCTCCCACTAACTATTAGTGGAAGAGAAAAAAACCCTCAGCAGTGATGCCGGGGTACTTTTTCCTTCGACTGACTAGAAATGTACTGTACATACTTTTAATCACTACGCTCTGTGCTATGATGTACAGTACTTTGCTAGCTCTAGCCAGTGTAGCCAGGCTCCTAGTTCGCCACAACATGTTGGGAACACCACATGATTTCCTTTATTTCCAGGTGTCTCTCTTTCGCACGTCCTGATGTTGGGAGGTATGCAGCTCTGAGTTCAATACACCTAATTAACATTAGTCATTCTCACTTTTCCTCATACTCACTACTGTAAAGGTGCCCATACACCTTACGACCATCGCAAGACTTTTGTCTTGCAATGGTCCTAAGCTTATTGAAAGCTCGTACGATCTGCCCACCTTGGACGGGCAGATTGTACTTGCGATCATGGCTTCCGATGACCGCAATGCAGAACGGGCAGTGTGCGTGTGCGCACACCGGCCCGTTCCGCAGCTATCGGACGAGCAGGCTAGAAACCCGCCGGCAATCGTACGATTCTCGGCGGGTTTTCGAGCATGTTGGTTCGACAAAAGACGTGCGACCGTACAGTAGAAACGGTCGCACGTCTTCGTTCACACTGCTCGATTCTCGTACGATCGTGGGATTTCGCCCGATTCTCGTACAAGAATCGAGCAGTGTATGGGCACCTTTAGACTTTTTAACTGTATAGTAAGGCAGATTACCTGTTGTGGGTATTGTTACCATTTACATGTTTACACATGTTTTAGTGATTATTAGAAGATTCTGTCAAATTTCAGTCAGTGAAAAAGTATGGGAGTGGTTGGCAACCCTCACACTGAGGATCACGGAAATTAAATTTTAAGATGACATCACGTGATAGAAATTCTGTTTTATTCTTTAGTATATGCACTATTAATTTTCTGACTAAGCGTTTCTATATATGGTGTGTCTGTTTTTAATAAACTTCATTTTTTTATTGGGGATATAGCTTCCCCACTTACTCCCTTAGCACCAGCACAGCACATGCAAAAAAAAACCCGCTGGAATCGCCTTTGCATAATTCAGAAAGTACAATAAATATGATTCAGGGAAAATTGTACCCCTACATGGACCATGAACTTATGGAATCAGGATGCAAATAAATTTGCCCAGCTATACAGAAACTGATTTATTTAACACTACAATCAATTTGAGCACTTACCTTCACAACACTGAGTGTTCAGCTACAGCAGAAGTGCACAGTGTCACTCACAGAGAAAGGAAAGGACAAACAAACAACAAGCAAAGTTGGCACTACACATGGATGGGGGACATTTCCCTGCTGGGCTATCAGTGTTCAGCTGACAGTTTGTGGCCCAGTTTTTTTTACGTGTCTTTTGTTGATAGGTGTGGTGTTGACAGGGATCTCAAACTTGAGCAGTGTATAGCCTGCTTAAGGGTAGGAGGTGCTGGAGCAAGAGATACTTCTAACTAAGGCATATACGGTAGATAAAATATTTTATTTAAAAATAATGCATATATTGCACATGCAAAGAGCCTTATGCTTTGTACAGCTTTTCGTCTACTTAGTCCCTAAAAAGATGAAAAATATATCTATTTATCACACCAAGGTTTGTGATTCCTCTCTTTTAATGCCCTCCCACAGTGATTGTATCTACAAATGCCCAGAGGTGTCCAAACAAAGCAACGGTTAGTGGTAAAAAAAAAAGTAAACGCAAACTAAAAATATTGTGCTTAGTATCTATTCCTGTATGCTGGCCCATGAATACCATAACAGGTAGGAAGATATGTGAACACCCTGTCATAAAGTAGTTCTTATTAATCCTATAATATGTCAAATTATTTGTAATAACACTATTAATTATTAGATCTTGATTGGGCAACTCAAAGAATTTGCCACATACTGTAAATTGGTGTCAGTCAAATCTTTACATTTCCAGAGTAATAATATAGTGTTATTATTAAAATGGCAATCAAAAAACCGCTTCCTTGCCATAAAATGTGACACTTTTATTTGTTTGGGATGGTTCCATTCAAATATAGATTATTTCTTGTCTCAAGCACCCAACACGCAGTTAAAGTTTTTCATATTCCAATAATTTCATTGGAAGCATTTCAATATATTGTACCATGTAGAGAAACAGGTATAGTTAAATGGAAATGTTCCCAGAAAAAAAAATATGATTATATATGCATATTGTGAATAAGCAGTTTTGTTGAGCTGAATAATAATCATATGCCTCACCATGAAAATGCAATCATTGTCTTGTGCATGTAACTGAAGTTCCTCTGATATATTAGTATGTGGTGCATAATAATATGTTGCCATGGTAACATGAATATGTCATAGGTGACAATATTACACTGATTCTCACTATATCATGATACACTGAAAAAACAGAAAGTGACTGGTCACAGGTGGGTTTGGGTCATTCAGCTGTTTGGTCATTCAGCTTGTAACATTTGAATGCATCATAAGTAGTACATAGCAGAGACATATCTAATATGTCTTCTAAGAGAAGCTATAAAGGCATGTCCTGGGTTTATTAACAAGCCAAGATGTTTCCAACAAAATAAGTTTAATGGGTCTAAAGAGAGCTAAAAAACATGATCTTGTCCGTTGGATTCTTTTGTGATGAATTAGTATGGTTGAAGAGTGAAAATGAGCCCTGACAAGCAATGTACACACAGCTGGTGAGGTTAAGTAAGGGCTACAGTTTTTTTATTAAATTAAACCTGACCTGGCCTACATTTTTTGTGGTGTCTGCAAGTACCTGGCTTAGTTTAGGCCTGACTGCACATGGAGCCTTGATTTTGGCCCAAGTTCAGATCAATCCATATTTACTATTGACACTTAGCTCTTACCCATATCATTCAACTGGCAAATGCCAGAGCTAAACAAAATGGACAGATACCATAATATAGTGTAATATATGGCCATATTAAAAAACAAAGCTATAATAAAAAACAATGTTTTCACAAATGAGGTAATGAAAACATTTTAGTGTTTGCATGCCTTTACAAACATGATTTTTTTTTTGGAGTACACAGAGATCTGTACTCAAAGGTCTTTAGTGGAAACCACCAAGTAATACACTGGGTATACACAAGGAATGGGGGGGCCTCAACTGCAGTCCCTGAAATCACCAAAGGACCACACATAATGTTCAGTATATTAAGTGATCCCACTCTAATGACAGACTGGTGTCTAAAGGTGGCCATACACTGTACAACCCTCGCAAGACTTTTGTCTTGCAATGGTTGTAAAGTAATTTAAAAAACGTACGATCTGCCCATCTTGGACAGGCAGATCATACTCGTGATCATCCGATGACTCCAATGACGAACAAGCAGGCCACTAACGCGCCGAGAATAGTACGATTCTCGGCGGGTTTTCCAGCCTGCTTGGTCGTCGGAAGATGTGCGATCGTACAGTAGAAACGGTTGCACGCCTTCCATACACTTTGCGATTATCGTACGATCGCGGGATTTCCCGCGATTATCGTGCGATAATTGTACAGTGTATGGGCACCTTAAGGGTTTAACAAGCACCAAAGGGCTGCAGGTTGGGCTTTGGGGCATTATACAAATTCGAGATGAAGACCAGTCAGCTCTTAACTGGCTTACAAAAATCCCCAGCAAGCAATTACAGCAGACCCTAAATACCATGCTCAGCTTGTTGAATTTTGACAAGCACTTGAGTATTGCCTGATTTTGAAGGTACATGAAGTCCCAGTTTGGTGAATTCATACAGTATCTGCATGTAAACATAACAGCAAGTTAAACAGTGACAAAAATTTTTTTATTTTAAAGAGACTTTATTTTCCTCTCTCGCCACACTACATTAAAACCTCAAACTGTAATTAAAGGTAAGACTTCTAGTCTCTGGACACTTAAGCCACAGCATGAAACAGTACAATGCATTACAGACAGTTCATAGCAGCACAAGTAGGGTATAGCTTATTAAACACTCTGCAAAGGGACCAATAATTTATCAGTGAACCTTAGTTTCCTAAGCACTCTTCTGAAAACCAATACAAAAAAAAAAAATTTGCTGAGAGAAAAAAAATAACTCTAGAGAGAGTATGATCATTAAGGTTTCCACTGGTGCACTAGATCAGTCCAAATTTTCATCATAAACCAACAGCAACCTGAGATTAAACCTTGCATCCATTGTGTGTGACAATTAAATACACACTGCAGTCCCTGGCTCCTACAATGTGTCTGTTGGTATAATATGGCTTTAATCTTGTACAAGTAGCCCATCTCTTCCTTGTGTGGACATTTTTTTGTTATGTGCTGACATTAGACTCTGTCCAGGCGGGAGAACTCTCATCATTTGTGGTGTATGGTGCTTTGCGGGAAATCCTTTTTAGTCGGAAAAGTCTGCATGCAGCCACACGGTATTTTTTTGACATGATGTTATATAAAATAGGGTTAATGGCAGCACTCAGGTAGAAAAGAACAAAGGAAACTAAGTTACAGTACTGGCTTATCAGAGCAATTTCCAAGGATCCAGCTTCGAAAGACTTGGAAAACAAGTAGCGTGCCACGTGGAAGGGCAACCAGCACAGGATGAAGGCAAATACAACGACAGCTGAAAAAGAAATGTAAAAAATGTATTATCTATACAAAGTACAAAAATGTGAATAGTTATATAAAAGCTTTTAGAAAATCACAAAAGGAACGCAGAGGTAATGTTTGTGACAGTGTGAATCATTTTAAACTCAAAGCTCTAACAATGATCCATATGACTGACCAATCACTGTAATTTATATCAGTTATATTGGCTTATTTAATTAGCACTTCTTGCCTGGAATGCAGTAGTAACAATATTTAGGTACATATGGACGTGAGTTGACAGTTGACCGACTCATTGGCATGGAGCATTTAAATATATGTAGCACTTGGCAGGTGACCTGAGATCAGATAGATTCACAAATACAGCCATCCCAAGCAGAGAGTATTGGATTGGAGCACCTGTGACCAACTGGAGAAAATTAGAATGAGGGCCCACTCTTAAGGTGCCCATACACTGCTCGATTCTCGTACGAGAATCGTGGGAAATCCCGCGATCGTACGAGAATCGAGCAGTGTGAACGAAGACGTGCGACCGTTTCTACTGTACGGTCGCACGTCTTTTGTCTAAGGAGCATGCTAGAAAACCAGCCGAAAATCATACGCTTTTCGGCTGGTTTGAACGGTGCTCGGGAGACAAATGCCGAACGGGCCGGTGTGCGCACCTCAGGGGGGCTCACCACTGCTGTGATATTGTTTAACAGGTAAGTCTAAATGCTTATGAGCAAGATAAAGTTAGGACAGTTTGGAGAAGGTATTTCTCTAACCCAAGCATTTTTTCCTTTGTTTTTCAGTAACATAACAGCTTATAACCATACCTGCAACTAATTATTACTGCTCAGAAAAGAATTCCCAAATCATACTCTGATGTGCTTTGCAGGAATATTAACAATGAGTCAACACTTCAACCCACTTGACCTCCTCCATCTGATGCATTTCACTCCTATCAGAGCTTAATCATACAGATGATTACTGCTGCTATGCTGCTATAGCAGGGCTGAAATTTTCAAGTCCTGAGCTACTAGACACGCCTTAAGAGTCACTAGCCACCAGTTGCCCCACCTAACCCTTACCTTGCCCCGGCCTTAACTCTGCCCCCTAAACGCACCCTCTTAAATAATCTTATCACAATTCTTATCTTATGATAGTTGCCGCTTGTAAACGGCAGATTAGGGATTCCTGCTGCAGGAAAAACGCAAGTTCCTGACACAGGAATCTCTAACCACACCTGAAATATACCGTAGGTGTGAATGGGGCCTAATATACACATACACTAAAGGTGTCCATACACCTGCTGATTATCGTACGATAATCAGCAGGTGTATGGGCAGCGTGCGACCGCTTCTAGTGTAAGGTCGTACTACTTTCTTCTTCCAAGCATGCTGGAAAACCTGCCGACAATAGTACGATTTTTGGCGGGTTGGTGGCGTGGTCGGAAGACGAATGCAGCACGGGCCCGCTTAGCACTGCAATCATCGGAAGCCCTCCCCATAGCCATTATTGCAAGTACGATCTGCCAGTCCAAGATGGGCAGATCATACAAGATTTTAATGACATTACAACCATCGCATAACGAAAGTCGTGCGATGGCTGTAAGGTGTGTGGGCAGCTTAAAGCACAATAAGAAACTGCTCAACAATGTTACACCCCCCCCTGCACAAATATAATAATACAATTCCCCCCGCACACAAGAAATAATACAC